TTGCTGCTGCAGGCATCTGGGGAGTGAGCCAGCACATCGACCTTCCCTCTCTCTCCATCTCTGTAAAATCTGCTTCTTAAATAAAAAATAAATAAGTCAGGCCCAGCACAATAGTGTAGTGGCTGACGTCCTCACCTTGAATGAGCCGGGATCCCATATGGGTGCCAGTTCTAATCCCGGCTGTCCTGCTTCCCATCTAGCTCCCTGCCTGTAGCCTGGGAAAGCAGTCGAGGACGGCCCAAAGCCTTGGGACCCTGCATTCACCTGGGAGACCTGGAGGAAGCTCCTGGCTCCTGGCTTTGGATTGGCTCAGTTCTAGCTATTGTGCTCACTTGGGGAGTGAACAATCAGACGGAAGATCTTTCTCTCTGTATATCTGAGTTTCCAATAAAGAAATCTTTAAAAAAATAAATAAGTACTTAAAATTTTTATGCAACAGGTACCAAGGTTAAGCCCTTGCCTACTATGCTGGCATCCCTTATGAGTGCCAGTTTGAGCCTATCCTGCTCCACTTCTAAACTAGCTCCCCGATAATACATCTGGAAAAGCAGAAGGTGACCTAAGTTTGTAGGCTCCTTACAGCTTTGTAGGAGATATGGATGAAGCTCCTGGCTCCTGGCTTCAGATCAGCCCACTTCCAGCTGTTGTAGCCATTTGGGGAGTGAAACAGTAGATGGCAGATCTCTCTCTCTGTAAATCTGCCTTTTGGAAAAAAAAAAGTCTTTTTTTTTTTTTTTAGATTTATTTTTATTTTTATTGGAAAGGCGAATATACAGAGAGGAGAGACAGAGAGGAAGATCTTCCGTCCGATGACTCACTCCCCAAGTGAGCGCAACGGTCGATGCTATGTCGATCCGAAGCCAGGAGCCTCTTCCTGGTCTCCCACGTGGGTGCAGGGTCCCAAAGCCTTGGGCCGTCCTCGACTGCTCTCCGGGCCACAGGCGGGGAGCTGGATGGGAAGAGGGGCCGCCGGGATTAGAACCGGTGCCCATATGGGATCCCGGGTGTGCAAGGCGAGGACCTTAACCATTGCGCCACCGCGCCGGGCCCAAAAAGTCTTTTTATTAAAGATTTATTTTTATTGGAAAGGCAGATATACGGAGAAGAAGATGCAGAGAAAAAGATCTTCCATCTGCTGGTTTACTCCCCAAATGACCACAATGGCCAGAGCTGAGCTGATCCGAAGCCAAGAGTCAGGAGCTTCTTCCAAGTCTCCCATACAGGTGCAGGGTCCCAAGGCTTTGGGCTGTCCTCGACTGCTTTCCCAGGCCACAGGCAGGGAGCTGGATGGGAAGTGGAGCTGCTGGGATAGATCCAGCCCCTGTATGGGATCCCAGCACACGCACGGCAAGGACTTTAGCCGGTAGGCTATCATGCCTGGGGTGGGAGGAGGAGGGATATATATTTTTTAATTATAGAAAACAACTGTTTTGCTGTTATTTTCACTGCAGTCAGTTGTGTGAGAGTACAAGCAGGAAGATCCAGGGGCAGGTCTGTTTGGAATAGCAGGCCCTTGCGCTGTGAACTGAGAACGGCTGAGGCCTGTGCGATTGTCCCAGTTGGCTTTTATTAGTGTGATGGACGAATCAGATTTCAACCAAAAGGTGAGTTAGGATGTCAAAAGGCTGTAGTCTGGGAGAACCCACAAAAGCCTTAGTTTTAGTACTGTTTTGCAACTTGATTAAATACTAGTTCCTCCAGTTTGTAAAACCTCCTCAATCCCAGGGACCGACAATGCAGTCAGCTGTAACTTGTAACTTGCGCACCTGGGTCTGAGGCATTGCGGATAGATTCCACGGACACACTTACGCAGGGAAACTTGTTGAGAAGAAGAGAGCATCCCCTGGGACAGCAATGAGGAGTAAGAAAAAAACAAACACGGACAGGAAGGTGCTTTCAAGATTAGGCAATACTGTGTTCCTTTATTGTTTTCCTCATAACTTCAAGTTATCCATTATTCACTGCAATAAGGTACCATTTCAATGGTAGAGTAACACAGCCTTTTATTTTGCTAAACAAAACAAAACAAAACATGGCCTTCCCACGGCTAAAAGTCAACAAAAGACCTAATCAAGGTTCTAAGGCATTTGTCCCAACTTTTTCCTAAGAATCATGTCTCACTCGACACTGAAGTTTCCTCCTGAAAAACCGCACCCAGGAATAGCTATCTGACCTCTCACAGGGTAAACACAAAACACTGAAACACAGGAACTGGCTTAAATGATCAGACTTTCATTCAACAGCCAACCTGGACATCTGCCCATTGGAACTTACTCAGTGTCAGTCCCATTCCTTACTAAACGCAGGAATATTTTTTCAGCACAATATGAGCATGTTGGACGGTTAGCTGCCTTCACTTTCCTGCAGCCTTCAGCTCTGAAGACATAAAAACCTAGGAGATTAAACGGAGCAAAAGACGAACAGCTTAACAGACTGAAAGTCGTTTCCTACTCATTAGAATTGCATAGAATTTACTCACTTTTCAACTTATTTTCCTATGGCGCTTAGCAGAGTTAAGTGGTGGGTTAGCTCCAATGTAAAACTTGTTTTCTGGATGAAGGAAAGAAGGGGGGTGAACAGCAGTCCTTCTATGAGGTAGGTCTTATAATCCCGAGGCTCAAACACAGGAAGCAACCCATCGAGGGTCACATGGCCACAGTGTCAAAGGTCACGCAGTTGTGGCTGCCAGGGTCTTGCTGGACAATGCAAGCTTGGCGTCTTTTAAAGAATTTTACATGGAATGCTTTCTTACAAAATGAACACATTGATGTGGTCAATGACAAAATACTTGACTGAGGCAGGACTTGGGGGAAATTCACTCCAGATCCACAGGCCCTTTTTTCTGATACAAAATCATCCTGATTTTCCTGGTCTACCATGGCGGGGGAGGAGCTGGTGTAGCAGAAGAATGTAGCTGTAGTTTAAAACACACACACACACACATAGCTTCCACTACGAGGTGTACAGCACTATTCACAACCACCAAAAGGTGCAGATGAAATGGACAAATAAAACGCAGTCCCCACACCGTGAAGTCTTATTCGCCACGAAAAGAAATAAAGTACTGACACATGTTGCAATATGGGTCAGCTTGGAAAATACACTACTGTAAAACATGACTCCATTTACAGAAAGCATCCAGGGGCAGAGGAAGCGAGTGGTTGCTGGAGGGCTGAGGGGGAAGAGAATGCAGTGTGGGCTCTCTGGGACATGCACTTGGCCTTGTGATCAAGATCCCTTAAGCGCAGAATGCCTCGGTTGGCTCTGCACCTCTGGCCACCACCCCCCCGCCCTGCCCCAAATCCAGAATCCTGAGCAAGAAGACCCTGGGCGACAACTGTGCTGGCCCAAGTGACTGGGTACCTGCCACCGGCGTGGGGACATCCCACGAGCTTCCTGAACGTGCTGTGGCTGTTCTAAGGATCTGGAAGGTGAACAGGTGAATATGAGTGCTTGGGTCTATCCCTCTCGCCTCTCAAATTAGCAACAATAAAAAGGCATCTTTAAAAGGAGGATGGGACTGGAGTCGTGTAGGAACTAGATGATGGTGATGTTTGTATAATTCTGTGGAAGTACTAGCTTTTGTTGGACACTTAATTTTGAATGTTTTTATTTACATTTCCTTGAAAGGCAAAACAATAGAGAAGACAGAATCTTGCATCTGCTGACTCGCTCAAATGGCTGCAAGAGTCGGGAGTGAACCAGGTTGAAGCCAGGAGCCAGGAGCTGCGTTCAGGCCTCCCATCGGTGACGGATCACCAAGGACTGAAGCTGTCAGCCTGTCTGCCTGGGTGTGTCCACAGGAAGCTGAATGTGAGGCCGAGGAGCCGAGCCTTGAACCGACACTCAGACTGGACCGTGGGTCTTGCAAGCAGCAGCTTAACTTGCTGTACCCTGCCTGCTCTGGACATTTAAAAACAGTGAATTCTGTGTTGTATGAATTTTACTGCCATTAAAAACAATAATGATAAAATGATGATGATTGATCATGAAGTCATAAATAAAAAGCAAGCAATGTGCACTTTTTCAGTTGGTCACAATTTCAGTGAGCTGTTGATGGTCCTAATCCAGCACCTTAAAAACAGCGCATTCCAGCTTCCCAATAAGGCATTCTTGCAGCGGAGGCCTCCTAACTTGGTCAACTGGCAAAGCACCTAGTAGAGCTTACATTATTTAAGAAACTTTACAAAAGGCTTTTAATTTGTACAAAGTCAAAGAGAATACTGGGAAACACTGAAGTGGCCACAGCTGGGAAATAAGAGGCCATCCCCGTATGCAGGCCTTGCTGTGGGTCATATTTCCCGCACGCAGGCCTCGCCGTGGGTCATATCATGCAGACATAAACACCCCAAGAGAAACTCGCCTTTCCTCGTACCTTACTTTGTGTTTTTCCGCAGCCTGGAGAGCAGACAGAAGCTCACTGTTGCCGCCCTCCGGGGCTGGAGCAGGTCCCACCCAGGCAGGGCTTCCCTGGTGACCCGCACAGGAGGGTCAGTGAGCTATCCAGACCGCCCGCAACAGCGCTCCATTGTTCGAGGCTCCAAGGCCCTTAGGAGAGAGTCAACTTCTGGCTGGGACATTAGATTTTCACAAACACTCATCTGCACAAATATGTGTTAATTATTTTAAAAAAGAAAGGTACAGGAAAAAAAAAGCTTAACAGATATGAAAGTCGGGATGCATCGAGTCTTAGTCCCAGTCCTGTGGAGTGGGAGTCGGCTTCCTTGTTTGTAAAAGGAGGAGGACTTCTCAGATGGCTCAGGGCTCTAAACGGGGAACACCCTGAGGCTGATCTAGCAAAGCCCAGGGGAAGCTCGCACAACTGAAGGATCTACAGTCCCCATCATCTCATCCACCGGAAGCAATGAAAAACACGGGGCCTTAATAAAACAGGAAGTACATTTTCTGTTTTCTCTCTTCAGCAGACATATCACAAAAGTCCAGCAGTCCTTCTGTCCCACCCGAGACAGCCCTACACAAAACACAACAGGAGGCACAGGCAGAGGTCAAAGGGTGTTTTTATGCCACGCTTTCCTAGGCTATTAATGCACGCTGGGAATCTACTGCTTTCAACAACTCAATATTCTCAGGAAGAAAACAGAGCGAGACGGAAGAATGTCACGTGCGGGCTTCCGTGCTGGTCACTTTTTGTTTTTTTCAACTTCAAAACTTGCCAGAGCAAGGACTTTATCTCCAGAGCCTGAGGAGAAAGACACATAATAAACAAAAGGGTTATTTCAGACCTCAGGTACAGAGGGGGAAGTGACCCCTCACACACATACAGAAACAGGAAGCAGAATTGGCCTCCGAGATCAGCAGGTTAACCCCTGGGCCTACACCGCTCCTCCCTCGGCACAGACAATCTGGCAATGCAGGTGACACACTCACAAATCCTTACTCCAGCACTAGTTATAAAACACAGCACGGAAAATTCTAGTTCACTGTTATAGAAGAATTGGGAAACAGTCTGCAGTAACTTCACAGACTTACTGAGCGAAGGACAGATAGGAAGACTTTCCATCCGCTGGTTCACTGCCCAAGTGGCCACAATGACTGCAATTGAGCTGAGCCAATTTGAAGCCAGGAGCCAGGAACCTCCTCCAGGTCTCCCATGTGGGTGCAGGGTCCCGAGGCTTTGGGCTGTCCACTGCTTTCCCAGGCCACAGGCAGGGAGCTGGGAAGGAAGCAGAGCAGCTGGGACGTGAACCAACATCCATATGGGATCCTGGCATGTGCAAGGCAAGGATTTAGCCACTGCGCCATTGCACCAGGCCCATTTCTTCCTTTGTTTTTAAACAAAAAGTGCTGGGGAATAAAGATAATACAATGGATTTATAAGGCAATAATCATGGGGGCCCAGCATAATGGCTCAACTAATCCTCCACCTCCAAGTGCTGGTACCTCATCTGAGCACCAGCTCATGTCCCAGCTGTTCCACTTGCCATCCAGCTCCCTGTTTGTGGTCTGGGAAAGCAATAGAAGATGCTCTAAAGCCTTGGGACCCTGCACCCGAATGGGAGACCCAGGCGAATCTCCAGATTCCTGGCTTCCAACTGGCTCAGCCCCAGCTGCTGTGGCTACTTGGGGAGTGAACCAGCTGATGGAATATCGTTCCCTTTGTTTCTCCTCTCTGTAAATCCGTCTTTCCAAGAAAAAAAAAAAAAAAGTAAATCTCTAAAACAGGGACAGCATCCTGGTCTCGGGCCTCACTCTCAGGCTGCAGCCAGGGGAAGGACGGTTTGCAGCCATGCCCTGTGTCCACGAGGGAAGCACGCGCCAGGGCACTCACCCAGGTCCGCGGAGACTCTCTCAAACTGGCTGAGCAGCGCGCCTGCGTTGGCTGACAAGAAGGCCTCGTCCTCGGCAGTGAGCTGAAAACCAAACAGGGCCCAGTCGAGGGGGTTCGAACGGCGACGTGGTTCCAGCAACCACAGCCAAGAATGTCTCAGGCCCAGAGCTGAGGGCACGCACGGAGAACCTCTGCACAGATTTAAAGGCTTTTCCTCAAGGCTCACGTAGTAAATAAAATGCCAGTACCTTCTCTCCGAGTTTCCTGAGCGCGGTCAGGATCTCCCCTTTCTGTTGTGTATACAGGTCTCTCTCCAGTTTTCCCACCATCAGATCTCTGTCCATCTACAATGAGGAAAAGCGAGGCCTTTGTTAACTAGTGAAAAGCCTACGGTGCATCAAATGCAGCTTTTCAGACTCGTTCTTACAGGAATCCTCCACCTGATGAAGAACACAGAAATCACCTGAGGGAAGCATGATATAAATGTTTTTATTCTGCCATTCTAATGAACCTTTTTCTTAAGATTTCTTTCTTTTTCTTGGAAAGTCAGATTTACAGAGAGAAGCAGAGACAGAGAGGAAGATTTTCCATCTGCTGGTTCACTCCCCAAGTGGCCAACATGGCTGAATGAGCCAATCTGAACCCAAGAGACAGGAGCCTCTTCCAGGACGCCCTTGGGTGCAGGGTCCCAAGGTTTAGGCCGTCCTCCACTGCTCTCCCAGGCCACAGGCAGGGAGCTGGATGGGAAGTGGAGCAGCCAGGATACAAGTCTGTTCCCATACAGGATCCCAGAGAATGCAAGGCAAGAACTTTAGCCACTATAGGCTACTGTGCTGGGGCCTCTAATGAATCTTAATACTACTCACAACTGTTTTTTTTTTTTTTTCAATATTTATTTTATTTTTATTGGAAAGTCAGACAGAGAGGAAAATCTTCCATTCGCTAATTCACTCCCCAAGTGGCTGCAACAGCCAGAGCTGTGCCTATCCAAAGCCAGGAGCCAGGAGCCAGGAGCCAGGAGCCAGGAGCCTCTTCTGGGTCTCCCACACAGAAGCAGGGTCCCAAGGCTTTGGGCCATCCTTAACTGCCTTCCCAGGCCACAAGCAGGGAGCTGGATGGGAAGAAGGACTGCTAGGATTAGAACCGGCGCCCATATGGGATCCTGGCACATGCAAGGCAATGATTTTAGCCACTAGGCTACCGTGCCAGGTCCGAAATCTTGTTTGTTTTTTTTTAAAGAGATTTGTCTGAAAGGCAGATTTAGAGAGGACAGAGAAACAGATTTTTTATCAGCTGGGTCACTCAAATGGCTGCAACCAGCCAGGACTGAGCCACTCTGAAACCAGGAACCCTGAATGTCTTCTGTGTTTCCTATATAGTGCAGAGGCCCCAGGACTTGGGGTACCCTTTGTTGCTCTCCCAGGCCGTCAGCGGAGAGCTGGATCAGAAGCGGGGCAGCCAGGTTTCAAACTGATATCCATGTCCAGCCTTGCAGGGGGTTAACCTACCACGCCACCGTGTGGGCACAGAAATCATTTCTTTAAACAGAAGTGTGGTCCGTGCATGGTATAACCGGTTTCAAATGGCTGGGATTGACATGGACAACCACCTCCACTTAGGCAGCATTTAGTCTTGTGGCCAAGACACGGGTGCTGACACCTGCAGCCCCCATCAGTCTCTGCGCTCAGCACCAGGCTCCCACTCCTGACCACAGCTTCCTGCCAATGCTGCAGGTGGTGCTCATGGCTCAGGTGACGGGCTTCCTGTCACTCACACGGGAGACGTGGACCGAATTCCTGGACTTCCAGCTGCTGTCTGGCTCAGGCCAGGCCACTGCAGGAGTTTGGGAGGATGGAGCAGTGGATGAGAGCTCTGCACACATCTCTCAAATAAATTTCAACAGTAATAATTACTTCTACCACCAAAAACACTAATAATACATTCTATACATTGGTATTCTAAGTGCTTTAGCACATAATTACTTCATTTAATCCTTCTAATCATCATTTTTATACACAGAAAGCTGAGGTACAAGAGGTTGAATAAAATAACTTGCCCAAGGTCACATACTTCAGACTGTGGAACAGGGCTTGAAATGCAATCAACCTGACTCAAATCCATGCCCTGTCTTAAGGAAAAAAAAAAAAAACATATATATATCTTCATTTTATAGGAAAGTCAGAGACAAATCTTCAATCCACTGTAATCCCCCAAATGTCCATGGCAGACAGGCTCGGGGAGGACAGGCCACAGCCAGCAGCCCAGCACTCCACCCAGGGCTCCCTGTGCGTGGCAGAATGGAGGGCAGGATTGGAACGAGGCCCTCCAGCAGGCAAGGCAGGCACCACAAACTGTGGCTTAGACACTGCACCAAATGCCTGCTTCCTCGTGCTATTAATGACTATGTTAATGAACTACATGCAGGTACAAATAATTTCTGAAAGATTTATTTATTTGAAACTCACAGTTATATATTGAGTGGGAGAGATAGGGTGAGAGAGAGATCTTTCATCCACTGGTACACTTCCCAGATGGCTTCAATGGCCAGGGCCAGGCCAGGTGGAAGCCAGGAGCTTTTTCCAGGTTGTCTCACAAAGGTGACAGGCTCCAAGTACTTGAGCCGCCTCTGGCTTCCTTCCCAGGCCCCTGGGAGGAAGCTGAGCTGGAAGCAGCATAGCTGGGACTTCAATGGGCACCCACATGGGATGCTGGTGCTGCAGATGGCAGCTTTATCCATCACGCTACAACACCAGCCTCTTACTTGTTAAGTCGTATTTATATGCAAGTCTATAAGATTTCTGGAAGTATGAGGTTTATAAAGATGCTTGAAGTTTTCAGATGAGACAGGCCACACATGTGTATAAAAGCAATGCTGCCGATGGGCTCTCAAAGGGACCTGGAGTTGGGGTTCCAGCAAATCATCAAAGGTGGAGTCCAGGCAGATGCAGTTGGTGGGCACTGCACCTGGCTGTTAAATCTCCACGTTATCAACTCCAACTGTCAAAATGCTCACTGTCAGAAAACTGTGAGCTGCAGCTCTGAAATCAAGTGACCAATTTTTAAACTGCCATTTGTTGGGCTGGGGAAAACAGCACACACAGAAACTAGAACAATTTAAAGAAACCTTACCTCTGCTAACCTTGTCCGAAGCTGACCCGGCTGTTTCTTTGCAAATAATCTGATGACCTCTGGGGTTTTGAAGGCCTGGCTGATAGCGGCCTGAATAGCCTAAAGACACACAAAGGCAGAAAAACTGTCTGAGGCGCCAGAAACAGCAGTCACTCGCAGAGGGGGTCTTTTTTTTTTTTTTCACAGACCACAGGACTTTATTAAGATGGAATCACTGCTAATTACATAGAAGCTACCTCCTAAGCCAAAGCCCGTGAGACCGACATAAACTCATGGGTACACAAACAGGAAACAAACGGCTTGTTCAAGACCATAGGGACATATCCTGATGGTCACGTGATGAAGGCTGGAGCAACTGAGTCTGCACATTCACGCCAAGCTGTTGAAGAGTTTATGGACCACACAGTGGTCCCTTGCGTGCAGGCAGAGCTCCTCCATGAGTCCTCCTGTCTGTGACAGAGCTCCTCTGTGAGTCCTCCTGTCTGTGACAGAGCTGCTCTGTGAGTCCTCCTGTCTGTGACACAGCTCCCGTCGCTCCCGCCTTTACCCGTTTCTCCAGCTCTCGCACCGCTCTCTTGCCGTGGTAAGGGGGCCCACTAATTCCTCCTCTTCCTCTTCTTCCTCCGGGATCTCCGGCCCCTGTCAGCATCTTTTGCTCCTCCTCCAGGCCCATGTCTGCCTAAGGTTCAGGATTTAACTGCAGCGGCCACACGGTAGCCACTCGACTAAGGACTTGCAAGGGTCACTCTGCGGATATCCGGCAGTCTGCAGGGGGGTCTTTAAGCATCAGTGCCTGGTGCTTCTAACTCAGTGACAATTTCCGTTTTCGCCTGTTTCTGTGCATGTCACAGGAGCTGACACCGCTCACTGAAGATGTGCTGTTTATGCACAAGCAGACACTCACAGGAGTGAGAGCCCAGAAAGGCACATTTACCGAAGAAAGTGACCAAACGCTCACTGAGGTGGGTAACTCAGGCTTACCAGCTGCATCCCGCTTAGTTCATCAACCAAAGTCATGTTTCCAGACATAATTTTCTTCAGTGAATCATTAAATTCACTTAGCTGCTCCAGAGTTTCCTTTTTGGTTTCCTCATACTCATCTGTGTCAAGTTCCTCCCTGAAGCACAGTGAACATTGGAATATATAAAAATACACAGTTCCAAGGGAAAAAAGCGATCAAAGTCCTTACACGCTAAAGAGGCCGGCGAGAAAGATGGCATGCCTATGACAGGTGTGTTCAGAGGGGAGTGGCGCAGGCATGTTCCTGCCACACAAGGAGGCACACTTAACAAAACACCTCATAAGTTTCCTTATGTAACCAATGACTTTGGGCAAGATGCTGAACATAGCCGAGCTTCAAGGTCTTTTATCTACAGAACTTTGGAGAGTGATGCCACCAACTAGTAAGAGTTGCTAAGCACATGAAATAGCACGGGAAAGGCTTGGCATAAAGCAGGCATGTGATAAAGGCTGTTGACACAATCATCATCATGCTTGGTAGGACACATGATGTACACCTGTAATCTAACAGCAACTAGAGCAAGTCATTTATAAAACACTTATTACAAGTCCAGCTCCCTGAGATGTGCCTGGGAAAGCAGCAGAGGATGGTCCAAGTGCGTGAACCCCTGCCCCCACATGGGAGACTCAGAGGCTCCTGCCTTCAGCCTGGCCCACCCGGGGCTTCTGAAGAATGAGTCAGTGGATGTAAGAGCCTCTCTCTTAAATAAATAAATCATTAAAAAGAAGGGAAAAAAAGTAACAATAACTACTGTGTTTTGAATGCCTACCCAGGGTCAAGTATAGTGTGGTTCCTTCATTTATAGTATCTGCAACAATCTTACAAGTTAAAAAAAAAACTACAACGAAGGGATGGACATTTGGTGCAGTGATCAGACACTGTGATGCGTGAATCCCACAGGAGAGCCTAAGTTTGAGTCCCAGCTCTGCTCCTGACACCAGCTCCCTGCAAACACACACGTGGCAGGAAGCAGGAGATGGCCCATGAACAGGGGCCTCTACCACCTGCCTAGGAAATTCAGCTGGAATCCTGCGTTCCTGGCTTCCGAGTGGCCCATCCCTGGCTTCTGTGGGCATCGGAGAGCCGACCATGCCATGCAAGATCTCTGTCTCTTTCTTTTAACTTTTAAAGGAATAGGTAAACCAAAAAACTGCAAGGAACAGTCTTGGTTCAATGAGCAAGGAAGGTGGAGACCACACATCAGAAATTTAGGCAACACCTTCCTAGCTTGGGACCAGGAAGGGGTATTTTGTTTGTTGTTGTGTGAAAGTCAGAGATACAGAGAAGACAAGAGTCACACACACAAAGACCTTCCTCTGGGTCCCCATGGCTGCAGAAACATAAGCATTAGCTCCGTTCTCTGCTGCTCTCCCAGGCCCATCAGCAGGGAAATGGAGCAGCCAGCACTTGAACTGCTGCCCATGTGGGATGCCAAACTCATAGGTGTGGCTTAACCTGCGTTGCCACAATGCTGGCCCCCAAGATATTTGAAATACTGTGCTGAAAACAAGGTAGGTGTTATTATTTCTACCTGACAGATGTTAGTATTTTGCCTAAAGTTCATATGCACTTATTCATTAATACAAAGATGCTCACATCCCAGTCGTTATGACTGCAAAGACCACACGGAGGTTACCTCTCCCGCTGACAGAGCACCGGAAGGGCCCACGTGGGAACCCAGAAGCACCACGGGGCTGGCAGCCGGGGGCTTTACGCGCAGCTGCACAGCATCCCAGCCTGCCACTGGCCGTACCTGCACTCCTCCAGATCCTGTAACTGCTGCATTAGTCGGTCCAGCTGTTCTTCTAAGTTCTGCTTTAATTTGCTTGTCTCTGTCTTTCCTCTGGAAGCCATTTCAATCTCTGGACAGAACAATAAACCTACACAGAGGATAAATGTTATTTGAAGAAATTCAACATATTAGTCATTCCAAAAACAGGCTATACTATTTCTTAGATATAGGCATTAAAAAGATAATTATGCAAAGAAAATCCCAACATAGATATAAAATTTCAAATTCATGTGGTAACGAGACTACTCAAAAATCCTTGACAGTCTTTTTTTTTTTTTTTTTTTTTAATTTTTATTGGAAAGGCAGGTTTACAGAGAGGAGAAACAAAGATCTTCCATCTGCTGGTTCACTCCCCAAGTGCTCACAATGGCCAGAGTTGAGCCAGGAGCTTCTTCCGGGTCTCCCACGCGGGTGCAGGGTGCTAAAGCTTTAGGTCATCTTCTACTGCTTTCCCAGTCCACAAGCGGAGAGCTGGATGGGAAGCGGATCAGCCGGGACACAAACTGGCGTCTACATGGGATCCCAGGCATGCAAGGTGAGGATTTAGCCATTGAACCACCACGGCAGTCCCACCTGGCAGTCTTCTTACTTAGCTTGACAAATTAATCAGATGTTTTCACTTCTTGTCTATCTTAAACAAACTTAAAGGGCCAGTGTTGTGGCGCAGGGGGTAGTTGTCACCTGTAACATCTATGACATGCCATGTCAGAGCTGTTAAGTTCCAGTTGCTCCCCTTCCAACCTAGCTCCCTGCTAATGTGTCTGGGAAAGCAGCAGAAGATGCTCCAAGTAACTGGCTCCCTATCATCCACTTGGGAGACTCAGATGGAATCCCTGGCTCCAGGCTTATCTGGGGAGTAAACGAGTGAATGGCGGATCTGTCTATCTCTCTCTCCTTCTGTCACTCTACTTTTAAAATAAACTTTAAAAAAAAATTCAGGGGTTGGCATTGTGGCATAGCTGGTAAGGCCACTGCCTATAGCACTGAGCATCCTATACTGGTGCCAGTCCAGTCCCAGCTGCTCGACTTCTAATCAACTCCCTGCTAATGCACATGGCAGACAGAGAAGTTCCTGGCTCCTGACTTCACACTGGCCCAGCTTTGACCACCGCAGCCATTTGGAGATTGGAGGGCAAACCAAACGATGGAAGATCTCTCTCTCTCTCTCTTTTTTTTTTTAAAGATTTATTTTATTTTTATTGGAAAGTCAGATATACAGAGAGGAGGAGAGACAGAAAGATCTTCCGTCTGATGATTCACTCCTTGGCTGTGCCGATCCGAAGCCAGGAGCCAGGACCTTCTTCCAGGTCTCCCACACGGGTGCAGAGTCCCAAGGCTTTGGGCCGTCCTTGACTGCTTTCCCAGGCCACAAGCAAGGAGCTGGATGAGAAGTGGAGCTGCTGGGATTAGAACCAGTGCCCATATGGGATCCTGGGTGTGTTCAAGGCGAGGACTTTAGCTGCTGGGCCACTGTGCCAGGCCCTCTAAATCTTTCAAATAAAAATAAATCAATCTTTAAAACAATGATTTATTTATCTCAAAAACAGAATTAGAGAGAAGGAGAGACGGCAAGAAAGATCTCCCATTCACTAGTTCACTCTACAAATGGCTGCAAATGAGCTGATCCAAAACCAGGAGCCAGGAGCTTTTCTCCCACATGGGTACAGAGTCCCAAACTTTGGGCCATCTTCAACTGCTTTCCCAGGCCACACAAGCAGGGGGGCTAGATGGGAAGTGGAACATGAACCCGCACCCACAGGGGATCCCAGCACTTGAAGGAGGAGGATTAGTTGAACCAATCACTGGCCTCAAATAAGGAAATATTAAAAAAAAACACACACACACACACACACACAAAAAACCAGGGGGGACGGGAGAGACAGTGCTGTGACATAAGCAGTTGCAGCATCCCACCTGGGTGCCAGTTCAAGTGCCACCACTTCTGGTCCAGCCCCCTGCTAATGGTCTGGAAAAGCAGTGGTGGACGGCCCACGTGCTTGGACCCTTGCACCCACGTGAGAAACCGAGGAAGCTCCTGACTTCAGCCTGGCCCAGACCCAACATTTCAACTATCTAGGGAGAGAATCGGTGGAAGGAAGACCTCTCTGTCTCTCTCTCTGTTTGTAACTCTACCTTTCAAATGCAAAATAAATAAATCCTTACAAATGAATAAAAATTTTAAAAAGATGTAACCGTTTTACAAAGAACTTAATTACAATGTTCTTTTTTTATTTGTGTAAGACTGCACACTTCATTTTGGAGTGCTAGTTCAAATCCTGGCTCCTGTATTTCTGACCAAGCTTCCTGCTAAGGCATCGTGGGAGGCAGCAGATGAAGGCCCCAGGCCCTGGGTCCCTGCTACCCCTATGGGAGACCAGGCGACGATCCGGGCTGCTGACTCAGCCTGGCACAGTCCTGGTCATCACAGGCCATTTGGGGAGTGAACCGGTGGATGGTGGATGAAACTTCTCTTTGTCTCTCTCCATCATTGTGTCTAAGTAGATAAATTAAAAAAAAAAAAAAAAATCTCAGCCAGGGCAGGTGTTCAGCGTGGTAGTTAAGATGCTAGTGAAGACACCTGTGTCTCATGAGAGTCTGGGAACACTGCCCAGCTCCAACTTCCGACTCCAGTCTCCTGCTGATGCGGGCCCTGGGACGCCCCAGCGATGGCTCCAGTACCTGGGTGCTGTTCTGCAGGAAACACCTGGATGGAGGTCCTGGTCCCGAGCTTCAGCCTGGCCCAACCCTGGGTATCTCTGGAATGAACCAGAGAATGGGAACTGTCTTTTTTCTCTCTCTACCTCTCAAGTAAACCAAATGTGAGAAACTAATCACTGTTTTGATGCCATAAAAATATACAATATAAGTGACTTAAGGGGCCTGCATTGAGGCATGGTGAGTTAAGCCACGGCCTGTGGTGCTGGCACCTCACATGGGCACCAGTTAACGTCCTAGCTATTCCACTTCCAATTCAGCTCCTGGCTAACGTGCCTGGGAAAGCAGCAGAGGATGGCCAAAAAGTTGGGTCTCCCATTTCTCTGGGCTCTTGCCCTCAGGTGGGCCCAGTCCTGGTCAATTTGGGAAATGAACCAGAACATGGGTCCCTACCATCCATGATGAGGTCTCCCATCTTCTAGTTTCTCCCTGTCTCTCTATAAATGCCTTTCAAAGAAATAAATCTTTAAAACATTTTTTTAATTATGAAAAAGAGGAAAATTCTGAATCTTCCTATCAAAGATTACCCTGTTTTACTGCCCTAAGCTTTTCAATTCTAGTTTCCGTAATGAGATCTGATGGGAAGCATGCTGGTTGGAAGGTGGCTGCAGCCTGCCTGCTAATGCGCTTGGGCCAAAGACTGCTGCCCTCGGGTCCCTTGCTCTGCTCCAGGGCCTTGTCTAATCGACAGCTACATTCCAGCAGCTTCCCTGCCTGGGAGATCCCCTGGCTTGGCACTCTCCCTCCTCTATAATAATGAGTCAACCAAGTTTATGTCCTGCAGAATCACACAGAGAACGTGTGGCTGGGAGGCAGCATCAAAGGGGAAAGGCCGCAGAATTAGGCCCCACTTCTTGGGTGCTCCCTGCCTCTCATGTAGACCCAGCAGGACTGCAGGCAGGGGCTGAGGCTTCAGCTACGAATGAGGGGATCTCCAAGATAATGAGCAGCACGAGGCTGTTGCGACCAGGAGGACAGTTTCTGAAATCACCACGCACATCCTCATGATAACCAAATCATTATGTGCATGAGGGTGGCGGCCCATGGCCATTCATGTGGAATCTATCAGGATAAGCTGGTGAATTTCCCCCTGGGAAATTCTGTGTAGTTTCTCCCTGGCATAGGAAGGAGGAGGATGCAAAGGCAGCACCTAAGGTGCAGTGTACTTTAAAAAACCTGAAGATGGGGCCCGGCGCGGTGGCGCAAGTGGTTAAAGGTCCTCGCCTTGCACGCCCGGGATCCCATATGGGCGCCGGTTCTAATCCCGGCAGCCCCGCTTCCCTTCCAGCTCCCTGCCTGTGGCCTGGGAAAGCAGTTGAGGACGGCCCAAAGCTTTGGGACCCTGCGCCCGCGTGGGAGACCCGGAAGAGGCTCCTGGCTTCGGACTGGCATAGTATCGGCCCGTTGCGGCTCACTTGGGGAGTGAATCATCGGATGGAAGATCTTCCTCTCTGTCTCTCCTCTCTGTATATCCGCCTTTCCAATAAAAAATAATAAAAATAAATCTTTAAAAAAAAAAAAAATAAAAAACCTGAAGATGGGGCCCGGCGCGGTGGCGCAAGTGGTTAAAGGTCCTCGCCTTGCACGCCCGGGATCCCATATGGGCGCCGGTTCTAATCCCGGCAGCCCCGCTTCCCTTCCAGCTCCCTGCCTGTGGCCTGGGAAGGCAGTCGAGGACAGCCCAAAGCTTTGGGAACCTGCACCCGCGTGGGAGACCCGGAAGAGGCTCCTGGCTTCGGATCGGCATAGTATCGGCCCGTTGCGCTCACTTGGGGAGTGAATCATCGGACGGAAGATCTTCCTCTCTGTCTCTCCTCTCTGTATATCCGCCTTTCCAATGAAAAAATAATAAAAATAAATCTTAAAAAAAAAAAAAAAAAAACCTGAAGATGTATTCATTCCAAAGGCAGAATGATAGGGAGGGAGAGCCACACATCTTCCATCCACTGCTTCGCTCCCCCAGTGCCGGCAATGGTTGGGGCTGGGTCAGGACAAAGCCAGGAGCCAGGAGCTCCATCTGAGTCCTCCCCCGGGGTGGTGGACACCAAGGTACGGAGCTTCACCCATGCCTACCCAGTCATGGGGGCAGGAAGCCACATCAGAAGCAGAACAGCCAGGACTCAACCCGGCATGTGAAATGGAATGCCGGCTTCATCCTGCACTTTTCCAGGTGAAAACTTCATTTCCTGAAAGGAAGATGTTCAGACTGAACCTATCCAGTGGGGAACCAGCTAGACATGTACTAACATGTACTGCAGAGTATGCGTTACACAGCACCACAAGTCAGTGGAACAAAGAATCTGGAATCCTTCATGGATTTATCGAGGCATTCCATCCCGTCCTGGGAGCTATCACGTCTCCCTCACTTCAGAT